TCAAAGGCTTAGGGCCTTGCTAAGTTGATGAGGCTGGCTTTGAACTTGAAATCCTCCTGCCTCAGCCTCTTGAGTCACTGGAATTATAGGTGTGTGACACCATGCCTGGTTCCAACTCCTGTTTTTGGTTATTGTTTTATGGTAATTTTTTATGTCTTTTTACTTTCAGTCTATTTGAAAAGTTGTCTTTGAATTGAAATTGTGTGTCTACAGATAGCATACAGTTGGATATTGTTTCATTGTTTTTGTTTTCTGTGTGTATATATGTGTGGAGGGGAGTCTGGAACCCAGTGCCTTGCTTGCTTGCAAGACAAGCACTCTGCCACTGAGATATACCCCAGCCTCAGATCTTATTTTTAAAATCAGTCTTACAATTTGTACCTTTTGGTTCAATTGTACTATCAGTTATAGTTAAGGTTATTATTATTATTATTATTTTTTGCATGCCATTCTGCTTTTTAGTTTGTACATATCTCATGAGTACTTTTGTCCTGTGCTCCTCTCATTGTCTCGAGTGACAATTTTGTAGGAAAAGTTTTCATTCTTTAAGGATTTTTAACTATACTTTTAACAGATTTTCTTTTAGTTGTTGCTCATGGGTTTCCAATAAATATCTTAACTTATCAAAATCGACTTTAGATGTATAATAACATAATTCCCAAACACTTGTATTTTGATTTGGTTGTGCTATTTATTAGTATTGTTGTCTTAGGTAAATCACTTTCCCCCCAGGTGTTTGAGAGTCAGCTTATAACTTTTGGTCATATATTAATTGATCCAGAGATTTTCATACCTTTGAATAGGTTAAAAGACACACATTCTATTTGTGAGATTTATCAATTTCTAGTGAGCAGATTGTTTTACAAAAGGTAGAATCCTTATATTTGCTCATAAACAAGGTGATTTGCATGGAGTTCTGAATACTCTATCAACAGAAGATGTGATTATGATTATTAGTTCAGAAATTATCAGACTCAATATAGTAATTGCTAGCTATGTGAGTTTGAGTAGGTTACTTAAGCTCTCTGTGCCTAATTTTTACAAGTATAAAATAGGAATAATAGTAACTACATCATGGAGTTATGGAGATTTAGTAAATAAGTATAGGTTAAACACTTAGAATATTGCTTCCTATATACTAATGCTCAGAAAATTTTCTCTATTGTTATCAACATTATTATTATAACCTGAAATGTTTTAAATTTACACCAAGTACTCAAGGTTTCAGAACTCTTTCCAAAGCTTTTTGGTTAAAAAGTTCATTTTCTCTAACTACCAACTCTGTCTCTAAGCAATGGGAACTTGTTATTATCTGAGCCTATTCAGTTGTTGAAAAGGAAAGTCCAGTTGTTTGAGAAATAGCTAAGAAGTGAAGGTACTCCCGTGTGAAGGATGAACAAAATCTTCCAGAGATTGTGCTTGAAAACACTTTTTTTCTGTTCTTTCAGAGATGTAGTATCCTAAATAAAGTGGTTGGGAACCTGACCCTGTGATCCCTTCCTCCTCTTGAAGCAAAAGAGGACTGTATAAAAAAGGGAAGCCTATAGGTTCTTTGTTTTCTGAAAGGCTTCAATGCATCTGCTAATTAATGCAAAGATAGTACTTAATTGGCTCCCCTTCCCTAGAACTGCCCAATTTATACAGGCACAGTGTTCCTTTAGAGATGGTGAGAGTTACAAAACTGTTAGTTGGATTCTAATCCATAGGCATAGTTAAAATCCTTTGGTTAAGTTTGTACTGTTTCTAGGGAAACTAGTGTAGTGTTGAGCTGCTGGCAGTTAGGGTGAATTTACCCAGTCCTTTGATATTGTTGGCAGAAAGAAAAAATTGATTTGGGTTTGGAGTGTGAAGGTCCCAAGCATCTGGCTGTTCTTATTTAAGTGTGTGAATTCCCAGTTGGAAGTTAGTCATATTTCAGTTACTTTCTTTTCAAACAGATAAAAATGAAATGCATACTCCCCCAGATAGTTCTGAATGCATTTTTTCAACTGAATATTCATCCCACCCCCAGTGGTACAGACATCAGCAACTCAATGAAGGCTTTTTAGAAAGGATGTTTTGGATTAAGTTGTGTAGCTATAAACTGGCTATTTGGAGGACAACCTGGAAAAGCTTTCATTTTGCCCTGTGTACCTTACAAATATTAGAGCAAGCAAAACTAGAATGCTGGAAAAAAGGAGTGAAGTGAGGAGAAAAGGGAATGGTAGTGGATCAGCTTTAGTACTTTCTTGTCAATGGGACTATTTTTTTTTCTTTGTGTGTGCTCTATTTGGCCTATAAAACACCCTGATGTGGATTTTTTTGCATGTCTATGAAATGTGTCTTCAGCTGGAAAGTAACAACCCCTCTAAAAGCAAAAAACAAAAAACAAAAAACAAAAACAAAAAAAAACAAAACAAAACAAAACACTGTGCTAATTTAGGCAAGAAAAAAATGCCAGGCAGAAGAATTTTTGTGAACACCACTAATATCAATTTAGAGTTAGAGTTAGGAGATGTGAATTCTGTCCTCTTGGAGCTTCCAGTTAGTAGAGATAAACGATGATGATCAGTGTCACACAAAGAAATTATAAAAGAGCATGTGAAATTATACCTGTGATAAATGCAATGAAGAAAGTGTCTATGATGCCATAAGAAATTTCCATGGTATGATCTAAATTCGGGTTAAAAATAAGTTTCCTGAAGGCATGAATACTGGAATAGGATCTAAAGGAATAAAAATTCAACTAATGATAAGGGATATTATGGAGGAAAAGCATATTTCAGGCAGCAGAAACAACATCTAAGAACGTTCTGTATGAGGGATTATTTCATTCTAGGAGAAGAAAGATGGTCAATAATATTGAAGATCAGATAGAAAGAGGAAGAGTGATGCTGGAAAGACCTGTGACACAATGACATGGTTAAAGATATGCTAAGAAGTCATTTGGGTGATTAATCAGAAAGATACTTGAGTCCCTTCAAGAGAAATGAAGGTAGACGAATCAGAAGACTGAAGGATATGAATCCCAAGAGGAAAATGATAGTGAGCTGACTATGGTTAACTCTACAAGTATAGTACAATGAATAGATACAACAGACCTCTCCTCTAAAGGCTTTCCTCCTTACCTTTCTTTTCTCTTCACAAACAAATCTCGTTTCTACCTCCTTTCATTTCCTTTATTCTGCATTTGATCACTTGGATCAAGCCACTTAGAACATTAACCCCTTCTATTTTGGGGTTATCCATCAAGGTTCAGCTCAAACTTCACCTTATCTGAGAAGCTCTCCAGGCTCTATCTATGCAACTTCATCTCCATCCTCTGATTCATTATAGAACTCATTCTTCATAATACTGCTTTAGTATTTTTCAAAATTTGCCTTTTTGTATTTCATTGTGCCGTGCATCTTTGTATCTTCACCTATATGGTGAAGTTCTGCAGGACAATGATTGTATCTTTCTTTCATGGTCTGACAAATGAATCAAGGGGTGGTTTAGGCCCAGAATAGGTGAAAAGATCACTCATGAAGACATAGCCAGTATCAATAAGTGACAGAAATAGATATACCTGAGATAAGCAGAGAGGGAAGCAGAAAGAACACAGACTGAGAGTATGGGGTGGAGGAGGGGAGGCAACAGAGAAAGTGTTTTTCAGAGTCAGTCACAAGTAATAAGGCTAGTGTCAGCTTCACACTGACCTGTTAGTGAGAACAGCCACAATAGAGCTGAAGAAAGAGGGAGAATAAACAAATGTGAAACATGTTTTATTTGGGAATCAGCTTAATTATGCAGACTGAAGTTATGAAGCAGACAGAGGTTACCCCAATTCTCCAGGGACATGACTCTGCCCAGAAAATGAAAGCACCTTATCCTTGGCCAAAGGATTCATTCCAGAGAAGGGGGAGGGATTGCTGTTGTCGTAGTCTTGGCAGTGGGTGGAGGTAGAGGAGGAAAAGATGGGAGGGGGGCATGTAAGTGGAAGGGAAAGGCTAGAAAAGAAGTTTACAGATAGATGATTGAGTTTAGGTCAGGGAGAGGGTGGGGAAAAAGAAGAAAAAAAAAGGAGTGTGGGTGACCAAGGCAGTCAACCTATAGGCAAATAACTTGCCAAGGGGAGAGGAGGTATACAGTTGTTGATAACTCCTCATTATACACAGATTGCATCTGTACTATTTAGTTTGGTTTTTTTGAAAACCTCTGAAAATTTCATGGTAATTAGTCTTCCTGCCAAGCAGTTATTTAAGAGAAGTGTAGACCCTCCTTTTGCCACAGACGGCTCCCTGGCCCATAGAAGGTGGGTGTTGGAGCTCTGGGACCCCAACACATCTCTATCTGAGGATACTTCGCTGGCTTGAGCAAGTGAGTATAGTACTGAATTTTATGGATTTTTTTGTGGTGGTGGGAGATTTAATTTTGCATAATATAGTAAGAATATATTTATGGTCCCTTTCACTTTTGCCTTTTCCCTGCCCCCTATTTATTATTATCAATATTGTTGTAATTATTTCAAACAAATAAGAGGAAACATGGGTTTCTCATAATTGAAACACTCCTCCCAGTTTGAAGTTTTGTCTCCTCCTCCTCATTAGAATTGTAAGGGGGTAGCGGTCCTGCAGCAAAGACAGGCACACAGGCTTTCTCTGTGGATTAATTGGTCAGGAAAGACACTTTTTATATTGTCAAGTGGCACTTAAGCCACTAATTCTTGACTGTGAAACTGCTTTTCCTGGGCAATGCTCTTTAAGGAAAAACTTCTTCAGTCCAGTGATTGGTGACTAAGGGAACGGTGGAGCACAGGGGATTGGGCGGGATCTCGGCTCCTAATAATGCCTCCTTATCCAATGAAAAGCATTTCCTATTGAGACCCCCAAGAGTTCCCCCGGCCCTGGGCTCCAGCCCGGACTTTGGGCCTTTTCTTGTGTCCTGTTTGTTAAAGGCATGCCGGCTACAGCATTAAAGAGGGCCGGTTCTTAACAAAGGGAAAGAGATAAATGTAAATAAGCTCACATTTTCAGAATGAGCGGTTTACTGTAAGCTGCGGCAGCCCAGAGTCTGCTACTTTGGGCTGGGCTAACCTTTCCCTGTAAAAAAAAAATAATGGATAAAAATATGCACTTCCAAAGTGCGAGTTGCCCGTTTACATGTTTATTAGCTAATTGTCTACAGGCATGAGCACACTCTCTCATCTAGCACACTCTTTTTTGGGGTAAGTCTCTTTGAGAAAGATTTGATTTGGGCGTTTGGGGGTGGGGGATGGCGTAACAAACTTCAGTGGAAACACTGATGCTTTGAGTGTTTTGGGAAAGAAGTTAGACTTCAACTCTGAAGTGCTGAACAAGGATCGTCGTGTTGAATGGTAAAAAAACAAAAACAAAAACAAGAATTTCTATTGTTTTGGCAATAATATTGTTTCCGTGGAAGAGACAGGATTTTCAGGCTGTTGTTTCATGTAAACACAGTTGTCCTAAAGAGCTGATTTTTAATCACAGGGTAGAACAATTTTGGCTAGCTTTGTATTTCTTTGGTTTACAATTGATTGTGAGCTAATGTGGCTTCTATTATGATGAGTTTTTTTTCTAGTAAAACTATACACGACATGCCTTTGATGCTTAATTGATTTATGGAGAATGTGACATTTGCTATATTGAATAATTCATGAATTTGCCCATAAAGGAAGAATCATGTTTGAATGAGAAACTAATTCTGGCATAAATAGAATTCACTATTAATGTGAAAGTTTTTGCTTTTGCCATAAAATGCAACATTGTGACATCTTTAAAATTCTCTTCCTGTATATCCTGAATGTTTTTAAGATTTTTAGTAAAAAGATCTTATTGAATTGATAAGTATTGTATTTTGTTCAGTTTGTTTCAGAAAATATAATAATGTAATTTATCATGATTTCTGTATGAAAAATGACCAGACAAATCCAAAGTTTAGAACATTACAGAGCTTGGTGGGGTTATTCATTTTGCTACTTTACCAAATTAAACCACCATTTTTTTTCTTGACTAATATGGAGACAACAATAATAACCTACAATCCAAACAAATTTATCCAGTGGCTTTGCAACTTGTTCATTTTTCAGAACAAAATTCCAAACAATATACCCACCAAAATTGATTATAAATCCCTTTGCATTGTCGCAGAAGAAAAGTTGCATTCTTTCTATAAAGGATGAGTTCAGTTGATAAACCTGATGTCCTCTACATTCTAAAGCACCTCCTGCCAATCAGAGATGTGAATGAAAGCCCTATTGGAACAATCAGGCCAGCCTTTCAGAATGTGTACTCTCTGTAAGTTAAAGACAGGAATGGGGAGATGCCTCAAAGCAACACCCAGGCCCAGCTTAGCTAAAGCTTGATCTATTCAATCCCCTTTGAGGGAAAATGCAGTGAGATTTGTTGCCCTTGCTGTGATTTGGTCAGAATCTAATTGTGCAATTGCTTTTGTCTGCCTGTCATCATATATGGTCTGCTGTTGACCTTTTTCAAAGGGAGGGAAAAAAAATAATGTATTTGGGAATATTGGTACTGAAATTGGAAGTTGAGAAACCAGCCTCACTTTTAGTAGGTTTATTGGTTTATTGGTTATCAGAACCATGAACAGAATAAGTAATCTGCTGATTTTGTATGGTTATGTTCTGAAGTATGCTGTTAATCTCATATTTTGATGAGTAAGGTGACCAGGTAGAAAGGATCAAGAATTGAGATCTAGAAGATTAGAGTTGATATGGTTGCTGAATAGGCAGGACAGAGGGTGAGGAAAATAAGGGGATTTGGAAGACATGAGGGTGTAAATGGCATCTTGCTGTGTGATTCTTATATTTTGTGCTAATTAATAATATTTACTTCTGATATTCAAATAAATCTTGCAGTCATTTCATTGCATTTAATAAAATTTAATGATTGTCATTACAGACCTTCAAGAATTAAAACTCTTTTTTTTGCAGTGACAAGTGGAAGCAGGTGAAAATAACTAGCAGGGGATAACCAGAGAAGCCTCTACCATGGCAACAATTGAAGGCTTCTGTCAGTCAGGGCCCAAGGTGGAAGACAAAGAGAAACTGAGGCCCAGAAAGGGACTGTGATGTGTTCTCCCATAGTTACCTAGTTATGGGACAAAATGTGGCTATATAGAATTAATATCAGAAATGAAAACTTCTGAGTGTTTGAACTTCCTATTTGCTTGGATTTCCAAATTTTAAAAATTTCTTTATATCAATTATGAAAACCATAAAATAAAGAAATGTTAATGTTTCTGTCTTCATTTCAGAAACCCCAGTAAAACAATATTCATTTCATTTCAGGAATACTGCTTTCTGGAGGAGTGTGAAAACTATTCTCCTTAATATTAAAGTGATTTCAATGTATTTTAAATTGTCTAAATATTTTATTTATTTATTTATTTTTTTAGAGAGACATTATATCAGGAAAATTAGAGTATCATTAGCAGTCTGCATTGTTTTAGGCTACCTTTTATTTTTGGAAGAGAATGAGATGTGGCATTATCATGAGTCTGTCACTGGCAGATGATTTTACTTTATAAGCATTGCTATGAGGTCTAAATGCTACCTTTAAGAATCCCATTATACATTCTGATTCTATATGTGTATTTTGTAGATTTGTAATTTGAAGGTGTTACAGAATGCTATGATGTATAGGCCTAGGATACACTGGTAAAGGCAGAGTGATTATCAATGATTGTGCTAACAGCCAGTAATTGAAGCCTCTCTCATATCAGTATAGTTCAGGTCAGGAAGTAAAGAAATCGGGTGTGAATGTAGGTTAGAGACAAGGCAGTGGAGTCTCCACCTGTTGTTCCAGTGTTCTTTCTTTGCCCCCATTAAGGCGCCTGCCCAACCAAAACAGTTGTTGCCAGAGAAAAAGGGAGAGAGACGAGAAAAAAAAAAAAAAACTGATATAACTTCAGACCAAAAAAAGTTCTTTTGTTGGTCATCTTTAATGTATGGAAGTGGGGAGGGATATTTTTATGCCTTTTGGTCCTAGTTATCTTTAGATGATTATAAGTTATACAGATTCATGGGTTTTGTGCTTCACTCTTAAAATATGGGACAGCAATGACAGTTTTGGAAAATAAAACATTATCTAAAATTGTTAAATACCATTTTAAAATATGTTTACTCTCATTTACTATGATTTATGTAATGTAATAATTTTGTCTACCTTGTGATCTTTGTATATATTTTACTGATAAGCTCTCTTATGGTACACTATTGTAACAAATTCTATTTCACAGCACCTGTTGGAGGAAATTCCTAACTACAGTGCCTCCAGAAAGTTTATTGAGTACTTATATCTGAAATAAAATTGCTGCCAGAATTTAAACTAATGTGGTGAGTACCATTTTCCTAGTATTAATTTTCTACACAAATACTTATTTTATTCTCGAACTCTTTTTTTAAAAAAAAAATCTTTAGTTGTTGATGAACCTTTATTTTATTCATTTATTTACATGTGGTGCTGAGAATCAAACCCAGTGCCTCACATATGTGAGGCAAGCACTCTACCTCTCCAACTCTTTTTGTAACCAATACTTCCAGATTATTACAGATCATATGATATAATAATTTAGAATGGATAGAGAAGGAGTTATATTTGTTTATAGTAAAATCCAGGCAATTCTGCTGTAGATGAATATTCATTCTTTAGCTCAATCCTTCTTTGTCATTGATACATAACTTTATAGATGGGAGACCTTTTTAATTCATATTATCAGGATGAATATTCAAGTGTATCAGATGAATTGGTGTTCAAATTGATTACTGATTTGTCTGTTCAGATATATGGAATGAAACTGAGTCCTAACTGGCATGTGTGAATCTTTCAGAATTTGGAAATGAGCTGTTTTAGGAACACCCAAAATCTTTCCCAAAAGGTCTGGGGCTTCTGATGAGATGAGATATTGAGTCTCAAGACTCTAAACAATTTCATAACACTAAGTTGAGCAATTTCTCTGCAGTTTTCTTACTCTATAACTAAGTACAAGGGAAAATTCTACATTAGTAGGTCTGATGTAATCTTTGGCCCCATCATATTGAGCACTGGACCACATTATTCCCCAAAGATTGGACTGTGTCATCAGGTGAAGGGTTAGTAGAAGACTGGAGTACTTTTGGGGAGAAAAGAAAAAAGTATTAAGTTGGTCACTAAAGATAGGATCTGATCAGATTGGAGCCTCTGTCAATTTCTTGCTCTCCTTAAATAAAATGGGGAAAAATCAACCTTTAATTTTGGTGAAAACAAAGTTCAATACAGACAAATTACTTTAAAACTGGTATTTCTTGCTTCAAAAATAAGAGGCCAGTGCAGAAGAATTTCCTTGCTCCATTCTGGAGTGAAACATTTACCTATTGTTTCCTCCATATGGAATTTCGTAAGCCTAGATTGTGTTTGAAAACTATTATGAAACATCAACCAATGCATTGGAACGTCAATTGGAACCACATGTATGATTGTGACCTGTGCCTGTGACTTGGCATAGAAAATTTACTTTAGAAATCTTATCTGTTATCAGCCATTCATATGAGGAACAACAATCTGGATATATTCCCTGTTGCTCCAGGAGAATGATTTTGAGCTGTATTTTAACAACATTTTTGTATTTTTAAATTTGTCTTACTGATAAGTATCTATAGGCAAGGACACAGTAGGCTTCAGCTTTCTCTGAGTTAGAACTTTGTTTCCAATGTATCATCTGAAAGGTTAGCACTTTGTGAAGTGACTTAAGTATTCACTGGTGCCGCAGTCTGGCTGGGCACAAAATCACGAGCCACTCACAGCCTTGTAGATTCAAACAGCAATTCTTTATTCCCGAACTCACACCGGCACTCTACACACGTTCTGGGGAAATCCACGTTCTGGGCAAAATTCACGTACTCCACCAGGCTCTGAATCCCAAATACTTTCTGAATCCCGTGAGAACTCAAGGGGAACTCAAGGAGCAGGCGGTGCTTGAGGCAGCAGGATACCCCCTATTCCCAGCAGGGTACACCTTAAACCTGGAACCGCCCTAAACCCAAGGAGCGGGATACTCCCTAATCCCAGCAGGGTACACCCTAAACCTGGATCCGCCCTGGTCCTTGAGCAAGGYCACCTTACTCAAGCATACAYGCAATGTCACTGCAAATGACCTGGGTCCAAAGGCAAGCCCATTTCCACAATGGAGAGTCCTTCCTCTAAGCAACATGGAGTAGGCTGACAAAGAAATTGCCATGTGTCATTCCTACTTGGCAATGGCTCTCGGCACACTGGTCCTTATATGGACAAAAGCCTAACCATTTCCTCCAGGAGCCTCAAAGACACCAAACATGATATAATTCATTATCATTAGAAACCAGAAAAATGATACTACAGTGAACTATGAGAATTGGCTCCATATGTGTAGGTCAAAGTTAAAAATTCATTGAGGGTCAATGACTTTTTGATCAACCTCCAGGTGACCTACATCCTGTCCATTGTCAATGAAAATACACCTACCTAATGCTTATCCCCTAGGTTATTAATTGTTGGAATAATTGGCTGCAAACATCTGCACAATACAATAGTCTGATGCTGCTTGTAGTGGAAGATGTAATTAACTGTGTCGGCCTAAATTTTTTTCCTTTCTTCATCTCATCAGAAGCTCAAGTGTGGGCCCTTTACCTCCATTCACTACTCAATACATTATCCCTTCAGGAAGATCTAGTAGTTAAAACACTGTTTCTTTTAGCCTAAAGAAAAGCCAATCAGAGAGAAAAGACCTTGTTTTTTGGACATCATTGATTCTCCTTTGGAATCAGCTCAAGAGCCAAATATTTCTCTGATTATTATTTAAAATTATAGCTCCAGGAGAGATATTCCATTGGAGGTCTCTTCCTGAATTGCTTTGTTATGAGTTCATTGTGTTAAGGTTGGAACTCAAGGGGGGACTTTCTGAGGTATAAGACATCAAGAAAAAGATGTGTTGCTAATATGAAGTTCAGAGTACCAAGAAAGACTCAGATATAAATTTCCAGTTGTGTCAGAGGTGGGAGAAGGAAACAGCTTCTATAATGTTTCTCTGTGGTTAGGTAAGATTGAATATTGGCAAGCTCATAAAGCTACTCACAAGCACTGTTGAATCTTCCTAGCCTCAGCTGTGAGGCTCAGAGGTAATGTTTATACAGGGAAGAGAAACAGTATAGCCAAGTTACAGAGTGAACCAGTGTCTGAGTCAGAAATAGAACTCCTTGCTTCCAATGCTGTGTTAAGTCCTAGCACCACACCCTCCCTGCTAGACAGCAAAGGTGGTGTGTGTTCAGGCAAAGGAGAGCTATGAATAGGGCCATAGAGGCAGTTTTCCCATGCCCTCTCTTTAGGAGTGAGACTGTACAGCTTTCTTGTCTGTGGTCCTTTCCTCTCCCACAGGATTTGATTACTCAGAGCAGCAGAGCAGAAGTGCCAGGCGTTAACATACTGCCTGCTGTGAGTATGGTGCATATGTTCTGGGGGGATATAAAACTGAAATAAGGTAATGGATGTGTTAATTAGCTTGATTTAATGGTCTGCATTGTATACATATATCAGAACATCACATTATACTCCACACATGTAATATAATTATGATTTGTCAATTAAGATAAAGAATAAAATGATTGAAATTATGAAAAGAAATGGATGAAAAACAAGAGACAAATGCACCTATTTGGAACATTACATCTTAAAAAGTACAAAATAATATATAGCCAGTGACATAGCAACATGTCCCATGGTTTACCAGTGGACAGACTGGAAGAACTCTGGGCAGAGGTGAAAAGGCTTCTACTATGAAAGAATTTTACAAATAAAATAAACTTACTAGCAGTACTTAGTGTAAAAGGTAGGTGCAAGCAGATCCCAGTGAAAAAAGCCAGGCTTTTATGTTAAGGGTTTTGTAGCCCCATGATTTCTTTAGATTGTGTGGCTATGTAAAATGGATATTTCCTTGACTGTTTTGATTTCTTTCAGCAATGAAATTATTCATTTTGAATGTGGATGATGATCTTAGTTTACAAAAAAAAAAAAGACTTCTGGGTTAATGGACAGTGAGTGAGGTGTTAAAAATAGTAAAGAAAATGGATTAAGCAGTTGAGAAGTTTGGTATTTCCTTTTTTCTTAAACCACTCCATGATGAAACACATAAGCTGCAAAAACCTTGGGTCTACGGCTTCCAAAGTGTGATATGATCATCATTGATTGAGATCTTCCAGGCTCTTGTTTCTGCTGATCAGCTTCAGTGACCTTAAACACAGTGATTGCAAACCATGCTTCTATCAGAGAAATCTGGAGGTAATAAGATAAAGCAAGTTAGCCAGAATGGGACTGTAGGAACTCTGAGCTGGTTACCCCTCCCAGGACTGAATGCAAATGAGATATAATTAGACAGCAGCACTTACCTCTCACCAGCTTCTCTCTTCTTTACTTCCTCTTCCCCTCTTTTTTTTTTTTATCAATTCTCTAGTTTTTCTTTCTTTGCTATTTTCCTTTCCATCTCCTCTCCTATTCTCCCACTTGATTTTATATCTTCCTTATCTGGCTGTTTTTTTTCTTTGTAGACCTTACATGGTCAAAGTTTCTATGGTACTCTGCTTTTGCATATTAGGGTCGCTTCTAACAACAGTTGAGCTGGGCATATACAATAAAATAGCCAAGAAGGACTTCAATTTTAGTTCAGGGTTAGGCTTAGGGGAGGTAGTCCATAAACATTTGTTGAATGATTAATCAAGGATAGCAAACTTCCAATTTTAATTTGAAAACTATTAAAAATGACAACCCTTTGCTTTATACCCCATATTTTCCAAGATCATTTCTCCCTCCATGCACTGCAGTAAATAAGTATTTTCCCCCTCAAACCAAATATTTCTTTTCTTAAGCCAAACACTGGTTTAGGTGATTTCAGACCTCTGCATCTTTCACAGGTTACTCCCTTTACTCCCTTCTCTATTTTATACTGAGGTCCTTTGATCTGTTTCCTGAGAATTATGAGGGAAAAAATGACATAAGGGGAAATCATTTCAGAAAACTGCCTTTTACATTTTAGAATAAAATCATGTGAAATCTCATTACTGGATATGTTAGGGAATAAAGGCCACTTTTATTCCATGTCCTTGTCATTCAAAAGAATTCATTCAGCAGCTATTTATCTATAGTGTATTTTAGAGCACTTTCAAAGGACAGTCTCTCTCCAGTGGCAGCTGTTGACCTAGGAGAACATTGGTAAGATTTCTAAACGCACCTTCAAAAAATGTCTGCCTAGATAATAAAAAAAATAGATTAAATCACTGGCTGTCACATGTACAAACAGGCAGGCAGAAGACATGTAAGGGGACAGATCAGACGTGAGTCTTGAGGGGTGGCTGTTCATATAAAATGCATCTCTCATCACTTCTACTTGGCAAGCAAAGGCTTTATTGATCAGGGAGATTTAGTAAGTGGAGTTGTGGAAGTATCTGATGGAATGAGCCTTGATAAACGGAAAAGGAAGACAACATAGGCTTAGGGTCTAGCATGAGAGAAACTTGGAAAGAGGACCATGACCTGCAGGATAGAAGTGTTGAGTTTGTTATTTGAATTGTCTCCTTATAAAGGCAATGTGGTATAGTGAAAAAAAAATTTGCCTAGCAGCTCTAATTAACTGAGGGATTCCTTAACTCCTAATTTAGAAGAAAAAGGTGAACCAGTTATCTAGTTCAGGAGTTTAGTCATGACATTTTAGAGTGTGTTCTGGAGGTCCTGTAACCATCTGCAATAGAACTAATACTCAGATAAGGTGTTTCAGTAACACTGGAGAGTAGACATTTGGAGTAGCTTAAAAGTCCCTGGGTTAGGAATAAAATAAACTGAATCTGGTTCTGGCCATACCACTTATACCCTCTTCCATTTCTCATATTCTATAATTTTAAAATTATTTAAGCCTCAATTTCTACTTTGTAAAATGGTGAGAATTTCACTCATGCCTACCTTATGGTATTCTTTTGGAAATCAAATAAAGCATGGCTTTTGACAGGATTTTGAAAATTGAAAAGTGCCATGCAAATATCAAAGCATTTGCATTGCTTTAGTTGTTAGATGTTNCCCCCCCCCCCCCCCCCCCCCGCCGTTTGAACTCTCCAGTGGCCTACACCTAATTCATGTTCATCGCAGTGCCAAACTATTGCACCTACTTGTTGAGTTTGATCTCTCCCACTTCTGCAACATACTCTTGTATTACTTTTAATGTATGGTAGGTTCTCAAAAGTACTTGCCAAACTCAATTGAATGTGCATGTTATCTTTCAACCTGGGTAGACCAAATATATTTTACTTTCTGGAAGGCAGATTTGCTGATTCATTCCATCTTGTCTCCCACAGGAGGAAAGTATTTCCTACCAGTCCCTAGTCTCAGAGTGGTGAACCCCTGCAGCTAGCAGGCCTTCTGAAAAAAATCCATGGGTGACAGAAGATTCATTGACTTCCAATTCCAAGATTTAAATTCAAGCCTCAGACCCAGGTTGGGCAATGCTACTACCAATAATACTTGCATTGTTGATGATTCCTTCAAATATAATCTGAATGGTGCTGTCTACAGTGTTGTATTCATCCTGGGTCTGATAACCAACAGTGCCTCTCTGTTTGTCTTCTGCTTTCGCATGAAAATGAGAAGTGAGACCGCTATTTTCATCACTAATCTGGCCCTCTCTGATTTGCTTTTTGTCTGTACCCTACCCTTCAAAATATTTTACAACTTCAACCGGCACTGGCCTTTTGGTGACACTCTCTGCAAGATCTCTGGGACTGCATTTCTCACCAATATCTATGGGAGCATGCTCTTTCTTACCTGTATTAGTGTGGATCGTTTTCTGGCTATTGTCTATCCCTTCCGATCTCGTACCATTAGGACCAGGAGGAATTCTGCCATTGTGTGTGCTGGTGTCTGGATTCTGGTCCTCAGTGGTGGTATTTCAGCATCTTTGTTCTCCACCACGAATGTCAACAATGCAACCACCACCTGCTTTGAGGGCTTCTCCAAAAGGGTCTGGAAGACTTATCTGTCCAAGATCACAATATTTATTGAAGTTGTGGGGTTTATCATTCCTCTGATACTGAATGTCACTTGTTCTTCTGTGGTGCTGAGAACCCTCCGCAAGCCTGCTACTTTGTCTCAAATTGGGACCAATAAGAAAAAAGTGCTGAAGATGATCACAGTGCATATGGCAGTCTTTGTGGTATGCTTTGTACCCTATAATTCTGTTCTCTTCCTGTATGCCCTGGTGCGTTCCCAAGCTATTACCAATTGCTTGTTGGAAAGGTTTGCAAAGATAATGTACCCAATTACCTTGTGCCTTGCAACTCTGAACTGTTGCTTTGACCCTTTCATCTATTATTTCACTCTTGAGTCCTTTCAGAAGTCCTTCTACATCAATACCCATATCAGGATGGAGTCCCTGTTTAAGACTGAAACACCTCTAACCACAAAGCCTTCCCTTCCAGCTATTCAAGAGGAAGTTAGTGATCAAACAACCAATAATGGCGGTGAATTAATGCTAGAATCTACTTTCTAGGTACAAGAATTGTCTTCTGGTCCAGATACAGTTTCTCCTATGATTTTTTTTTATGCTAAGATTTTGAAGCTAATGATACTGAGTATAGATCAGTGTACCAAATACAGTCAGATGCATTTGTTTGAACATTTAATGTAATATGCTGTTTTGTTCAGTAATTATAGGTCAAGTCTAATTACAACAACTGAAACAGATCACCAGACTCTTCTGCTGGGTTGGAATTTCATGGTATCATGTTATGTAAGTGGCCAGTGGCCTTCACCTTAGTGATACACAGATTACTTTAAACTTCTAAAAAGCTATTTTCATTCCATTGATTTTGGTAATTGGGTTGGGCCTATAAATATAGAACAAATTCAGGGATTATTTAAAAAAAAGGTTATATTACTACTGATATATGCTAATCTTTTTCTTCTTTTTTGAATTGTCATTCAATTTATTTTAACACAAGAACGTATTTTATCCTAATATTATTAATAAGAAATGTGTCCAATTTTAAAGAATTGGTAAAAATTTGTATGCTAATTTTGTTAAATTATGCTAAATTTGTATTTGATAATTTTGAAAACAGAAAAGAAAAAGTATTTTCATGTATATGGTTGGGGAGAATTAGAAAATTAACAAAATTTACACATTTATAATCACAAACAGTGTCAATTTTTAAAACTTTCTTTTTATACTACATAAAGATTTTTGTATGAAAATTCTAAGCCAGAAAGCTGCTACCTATGTGCCTGGCAGGTGCAAAATGGAAAATCACATAGAAAAAAAAAAAAAAAAACAACGAAACATCAATAAAGAAAACCTAAGCAACACTAACATTTTTTTCTTAATACTTATAATTACCTTTCTTTTGAGGGACTGAGTTGTATAAAATATTTATTCTCCATATGAATTTGTTTTAATTTTTTATTTGTTTTAATTAGTTATACATAATCCATATGAAATTTTGGGGCACAGTGCAACCAAAAAGCTGTTGCAGTTGTGCCCAGGTCGGGAGCGAATTGAAAAAAAAATGAGAAAATAATAACAATAATAACAAAAAAATTGTATATTTGCAGTTATTTGGGGGAGGGAGGTGGTAGGGACCTGTAACTTTAAAATACTTATTGCTTTCTTATTAAATTTTGGAGCACAGTGTAGCCAGGGAGCTACTGAGTTTGTGCCCAGGTTGGGAGCAAATTGAAAAAAAATGTATATAAACTAAATAAAGAAAAAGAAAAAAAGCACAAAATAAAAAAAGACAAAAAAAACCCCACAAAAATAGTTCCTAACATTTGTGTTACTATTTTATATATTTTTGAATCACTGTAAATTTAAAAATAGGTTATTTGTATGGATTTTTTATCAAAATTCAACTAGAAATCTGTTAAATTTTTGCCTTGATCAGGAATAAACAGGAAAAAAAACTGACATAAAACTAAAAAAAATATTAGAACAAACAAAACAAACACAGAAAAAAAATTAGAACCTGCACTGTTTTTGAGCATCTGTAAAATTTTAAAAGTGCTGAAATTTTCTTGTGATACTTTGGTTCAAAATGCACCTAGAAAGCCCCTAAACAGGCACCCAGTTTAGGAGCAATTAAAACAATGTTTAAAAATCTATCAAAAGAAATAACCATTTTTATAATTCAAATATCAAAAACTAAAATTATCCTTAAAATCTTGCTATTTTTGGATGAAGAGTGGTTGTAATAAGTTTTAATACTTTTAAGTAAAAAAAATAGCTTGAAAGGTGCTACATTTGTGCTTAAGTCAGATGCAACGGAAATTAAAAACTCTCACACACATATATAAAAAATAACAAAACTTTTCAACATTTCTAAAATCTTGAAAAATAAGAAAAATATTTTTAAAATGTACATTAATCAGTTTAAAAATATGTAGATGATATAGTGACTTAAAAATGCTAAGAATTTCAAAGTAGAACTTCCAGTAACAATGCATCTTGTAATTTGCTGAACTTGTGCCAAGGAATGGTAAAAAAAAAAAAATAAAAACCATAAAGCAATGAAAAGTAAACAATAATGAAAAAGCAAAAATTTTAAAACAATAAGTGAATTCTTGAAACCTGTTAACCTTTTTTTTTTTTTCTGATGATATGTAGATCTAAAAATACTAAGATTTTAAAGTAACTTTAAAAATTGCTGAATCTGTGCTTGGGTTAAGAACTAATTGAAAAAATGCTTAAACAATAGAACAATAGTAAAAATGAATTCTCAAAACTGGTGTTAATTTTTCCTCATGATCTAAAGTTCTAAAAATAATCATGCATTATATTGTCTTGTGAAGAATGGTTGTAGTTGGAATACATAAGGCATTCAGTTAAAGATGAAATTAGGTTAAGTTAGACTAAATTCAGTTAGGTTATGTTGTAAGAACAAATTAGTAATTAAAGTATGAATAATCTTTTTTTCTTTGATATTATTTCTTTTCTATTTTTTGTAAGTATATACTATATGTGAATTTTTGTTTCTGCCCTTAGCTCTTAAAATTATGAAATTTTAGGATTGTAACACCAGACCATTTAATGGGATATGTTAACCAAGTTGACATAAAATATATTATTAAATCAGTTACCTTTTGTATAATTTCTATGTTTAGTTATGTTTAATATTTCATATTTCTCTTCCTTTTAGTTAACTTCCATTTTTATACTTAATATAACTTGCTAATAAAACTTTTCATATGAACAATTTAACCATCAAAATGTAATGTATAACTAAATAAAATTGACTTTATTGCACACATAAAGGCAAAGGTAATCTTTCAGCTTTAATTGCAACTTGATTTTAAGTGCTTATTAAATGTAATAAAATATATTTGGATTATCTAGCAGTTACACTTTGGTCAATTATTTCTTTCCTCAACTGTCTGTATTTGTGGAAATTTTCCCTTAAATTTTCTCCATCCTTCAAGAAAGGATTTACTAAAGTGTGTTTACTCTCAAATTATTCTAATACTTTATTTTTGAGTCTGTCTGAAAACTGAAACATTAGCAAATGATCATTCCCTTGGTGACTTTTCAGGAACCATGATAAACACACACACACACACACACACACACACACACACACAAAGTACTAACTTCTTTCATAATTGTTCCAACTTGGCTTTGATTTATACCCATGGATTCAAGCAACCAACCTCAGATCAAAAATATTTGAAAAAAAAAGGTTTATCTGTTCTGAACATGTACAGACAGTATAACAAACTAATTATGCAGAATTTACACTGTATTAAGTATTATAAGTCATCTAAAGATGATTTAAAGTATATGGGAGGATGCACATAAGGCTATATGCAAATACTAAGCCATTTTACATAAGAGGCTTGAGCATCCATGGATTTTGGTATCCATGGGGTGTTCTAGAACTAAGCCCCAGAGTATACTAAGAAACTACTGTATTGGGGGTTTCTAGTCATTTTTTAATTTGATTTCTAGGATTTGATGAAACATCCTAGGACAATATCTAAGTGGCCTGGGGCAAGTTGGGGCAAAAAGGCCATGTGATTGTAATATGAGGGTAAACTAGGGAGCTAACAGGTCAGTAACTAGAGCAGGTGATGGTTCCAGGTGGCCGCACAGGGAATCATGCTCATTCCTTTAATTCTAGGGAAAGCAGTGTTGGCATCTTGTGTTTGTTCCCTAGTTGACAACAGCAATTGCTCCCTTTTCTGACATTATGACCAACATGGTCAGCCCCAGGATGTATTTAAAATTAGAGGAATTTTTCTATTAGTGACCTTCTAGGCCACTTCCTCAGAAACAATGGGGAGAGAAGTCCTTTGTTTCACATCCCTATTTGTTCTCTTCGACCTCTGTCTCTACCCCAAATCCCTGCATTCTTTCTTTAGCATGGTTTCCCAGGTTACATTTTGTCCTCCTGTTTTTCTTGTGGCTCTTTCCCTCTTCAACATCTCTCTTCAACCCCTATGGAGTCTGGACCAAAAACAATGCAGAAACCTCTGTCAAGATAGTGACAGGTTGAAAAGATTCACACTAAGGTGTGAAGAATTGGTCCCTCCCATTCACATTTCAGAAAGAGAGTCTGATTAATTCAAGTGATTGTCTAAACCAGGGACAGGGTGGGGAGAGATTATTGTCCCAGTATTTGCTAAATTATTTCTTGAGCCTTGGGCTCTCTTGCCTCATAATACATGGGGCCTCTGCACTGCAACTTCCTCATCTCTCTTTATTTCTGTTAAATAAGGAAATACTTTATTAATACATACAAACACAAACTATAAAGCACTAAAAAATTTAAATTGGCAACTCAACATCCAGGGTCAACAGAATGCTTGAAAGAAATTGCAACAGATTAGATTTCCATGGTGAGAAAAGCATCTTTGTAAGTGAAGGGTGACCCAGTTGTAATAGCTTTTCAAATTCTTTCTCCACATTGAGAATCATAAGAGGCACTGCAAACAAGGGAAGGTGTGTAATCTGGTGCACTTTGGGCAGGTCAAAACTTTCCAAATCTAGAGGATTGGAAGAAAAAGAATTGTACATTTCTGAATATATGTTATTAGAGGCAGGAGCAGAGCTGTTTGCCTTTACAGTCTTTGTGGTCATGTTTTTGGCAGAAAAGTTTGGTATCACTTTTGTGTATTATGGAGTGCAAACCATGCACTGCCTTTCTCCTGAGAGCCCTATTTTCCAAAATTCTCCTCAATGACTAGGAACCCATGTTTTTATTTCAAATAAACTGGAATTTTTTTTCCCTCAAATGTCTCCTGATCATAGTGAAACTTTGTGAAATTGTTCATGAAATATGAAGCAGTTTGTTTCAAGATGGAAGCCAAATTACAGTCCACTGAGTTAAAATGTCCCTTGTGTTCCAATTTTGGGGGAGGGGGTGGTTACTGGACCACTGAGCCACATCCTGTGTTCTGATTTTTGAAGAGCCATGTACTGCTCACTGCTTTGCTTCTTTACCTCTCTGAGGTCCTGGGAATGAAACTCTTCTTTCCCAAGTATCCAGGGAGGTACTGAGTTCAGGAACCTATAGGAGTTGGTCCAGGATGAGGTCCAAAATGTGTCTGTGAGGGAAGTCTGGCAGGCTCTCAGACTGGAGTGCCTTGTATGGCCCTAGTAACCAGTTCCCTTCCTGTTCATCATGGAACAGCTCCAACCTTTTAGATGAAAAGGCAGTCACAAACAGGACTCACACCTCGCATGGCAAGTTCAGAGTAGGCTGTCTGCTCCTCCAGTTGTAGTCTTCTTTGTACTTGCTGGGGTAACAAAGCTGAAACCATGAGTCACCTTTCTCTGTGGGGATCCTGGACTAGACCCACTTCAAGGCAGCTTGAAGTTCCTAAGAATTGGTTTGTCTGGGGCAATTCCTGGGATTCCGAGTTCATTCATTTACTAAT